TGTTCAGACACATCGCTGCCAATACCATAAAAGGCAAGGTATTGGCACAGGCCGAGCGATGTGTCTGACGTCACTACCAAAACGAAGCGATGCGACGCATCGTCCGGCTAGTTTTAAGTTTAAAATGTATCACCAGAATAAGACACGGCTTGGCCGAATAAACACACACAAAACATTACTCCGCTGCGTTTCATTGTACTTTATTTTGTTTTAGTTCATTTAGGCCGTTTTATGGGTTTCTAGGTAAGTAACCATGTTTAGCCCGAACATTTGGTCCTTCGACAGATTCGAACGTTAGGCCGATAGACAGAAAATTCAATAAAAGGCCGAAAATTATTGAATTTTTGTTTATGCATTGTTTTTTCTGTTCTTCCGTGATCCGAGGCAGAACGGAGAACGGGGGGAATTTCCAAGAAAGAACGACACATATTTAAGGCAAAACTGTGTCGGGAAATTCCCTTTATGAAGAAAGAAAAGGAAATGTTAACGAAAGTGCAGTGAATTTGTGTGAAATATGTTTATTGCTGTGTTTCTTAGGCAAGAGAATAGGCAGAATTGGATGAAAATTCCAAGAAAAAATAATAGCGCGTAGCAGTGTGAAACGGCATGCTGTCTATCTCGCTCTCCCCCACGCTCGCAGATATACGCTGCAGATAACATGACAGAACAGTGTAACATGACGGCATTGTTTTGGGCGAACTGAGTGGAAAATTCCACTCAACACATTTACATGCATTGACCACCGAACCGGGCAAATGCGATGAAATATTCATGTGGCAACAGGCACTAGTCGTGGTATACACATTATGATGAATGTGTTGGTAGGCGCAATGGATGATGCGATTTCGACTTAAGGAGTAATGAGTCACACTCACACAGAACGGAGAGTGTCGCCCGAGGCCGAAAATGCCGAGAACGAACATGAATAGTGATGTGGAAGCAGCACACTACCTATCTCGTTTACTCTTGCAGAGGAACGCTGTAGAGAATATTCTAGATGCTGTAACACGGCAGCACTTTTGAGCGCGCGAGTGAGAAATTTCATGATTTGCATGTAAGTGTATTGACCACCGAACGGGCCAAACGTTATGCATGTAATATTCATGTAACAGGCTATGCGACAACAAGCAACGGTTGCACGTATACATTATGCATGGATGTGTATGTAGGCGCAAGCAAAGTGACGCTCAAATGAGTATGCTCATTGGCTGAAAATTAGGCGCTAAAACAATGCGAATATTATTTAACAAGTGTGAGTCACGTTTACAGGCGATGAGAGTGCCGCTCGGTTGAATGTCTGAGAAAGCAAGAACAGACGCGCAACCGAGCACTCTCATTGGTCGACGAAATGTGTTGACGAGGCTAAGGCTAATGCATGCAAGAGAAAGAAAGCATTGCATCGATTGCTGGTTTGACGCATCGATTTTGTCACCAAATATTGACGAGCAAATCGATCGCAACGGCATTACGCTGCGGATTCTTAAATAATACAGTTGACTCTTTGTTGCACGGGTTATTTGTGACCGCCATTTTTATTTTCAAGAAAAAAAAAAGTTACAAGCTATTGTGAAATACTTGCAAAAATCGGATTTTGAGCCAGATTAGTTAAAAAAAAATTGATTATATCATAGGCCGATTGTAAATTCATCAAACGTTAATCAGTTTTTGAAAGATAAAGTGAATTTTGTGGTTTTGACTAAATAATTTCAAAACGGAAATTACTGAGAAAAATCGCGAAAGGCAGGCGATAAACGTGTGTTCAGGCTGATCACAGAAATTTTATGCACGAAAATTTCTGGGAACTAGGCTATCGCCGTTATTAATGTCAGATAAACCACAAAAAATTGCCGAACGCAGAACGAGCAGACGTCCGAAACAGAAAGAAAAAACGGACAAATCGAAAAGTGCCGAAACTACGCAGCAGCACGAAAAGGCAACAGAAAAGGCTGTGGAAAATTCCAAACAAAAGGCATCGGCTGAAACTACGCAGCAGCAAAATCTATTGATTGTTGAGAAAGAAGCAACAAATAAAATGTCGACGAGAAAACGAGATATTTATGCACGGAATATAACTAAGGCTCATGGAACGGTATGTGAAAATTCGTTCAACAATTTGTCACGCATTGAAATTGAAGACCACTTGTTAATACTCGAACAAGACTGGGAAGCCTTCAAAAAAGAACATGAAGCAATCGTCGATACGTTAACCGACAGCGGTGAAATCGACAAACAATACGACGAATATGATAAAATACAAGATTTGTATCGCCCAACACGATCAATATGCCGAACACGCATGGAGGTTTTAGCACCAAAGCAACAACACCCGCAGTCACAGGCGACTGAACGAATTAGTGTTGAAATGCCGCATTTAGAAATCCCAAATACGTGGGGAAAATTTGCAGGTGGCAAAGGCGGTCATACGGCTTGGAAGAGTTTCCGTAACTGTTTCAAAGTTATCCATGAGGACACGAAGCTAGCACCATCGCGCAAATGCTATTACTTATCCGAGGCGTTGATTGGTGAGGCAGCCGGGGCCAGAGGCGAACTGGCAATCACGGAACAAACATACCAGATCATTTGGCAAAGACTGGAAGAACGATACGGAGACGATTACAAGATCGTTGAAGAGTTAGTAGGCAAACTACTCACAATGCCGAAAATGTCGAAGCCATCATGCAGTGGTTTACGACGCATTCTTGATATTATGCGCGATGCATTGGGAATGCTTGACGAGTATTTCGATACCACACAATGGGATCCAATTCTCGTGTTTCTCGTGCTAAGTTTGGTTGATAACGACACCCGCAGCGAATGGGAAAAGATCCGACCAAAACCAAAAAAGGCTATGGTATCAGAAAATCAAGCTGAGGCCGCAACCGCCGGTGAAGAAACGGCCGGCGGTGACCAACAAACGCCGAAGAAGATTAAGAGCCATGTGCCGCCATGGAAAGAATTGGAAAAGTTCATTGAACAACAGGCCAAATATTTTGCTCACCTTGATGACCGACAAGGAGCCGGAGCATCCAGTTCACGAAGTTCAAGCGCGACGCGCCCACAAAATACGAACAACGTTCCCCAGGCAAGTTCTTTCAAGCGAGAACGGGCTCCATGTGAATTATGCCAAGGCCCTCATCCGATTTTCAAATGTGAGCGATGGCTCAAAGAAATGAATTTAGCAGGCCGACAACAATTCATGAGAGAAAACAATTTATGTCACATGTGTTTACGCCCGAATCACAATGATTTTTACTGTTATACGAACAAAGACGGCACACCTAAGGCAACAACACCATGCCCACGTTGCAAAGGGGGCAAATATCACAACAGCACGCTTTGTCCGACACTTGAAGCCGAAAAACGTACGCAGACGCTCAGTGTGCAACAAAACGAATCACGTCCAGGCAGCTCACAACAAGGTAACGTAAAACCTAATACCGGAGCTTATTCCAAAACTAATCGAAAACAATGACTAGGCAAACGCAGTCATCAGGCTGGCGGACAGGATGTGGTCCGTTATTGGGATATGGACATCGAAGAAGATGATGAAGATGCCCATCCTTCCCACCCTAAACAAGCACGAATGTCGGAATTGGCATCTTCATATAGGTCTTCTTTACAGTCGGCAGTGACACGAGCCGGCGATTGGTCAATCGCGAACGAACAACGGATCAATCGTGATGACGATGAAGAAGACGAGGACAGCCAAGCGCCGACAACAAGCCGACAAAAATTCACGAAAGAACGATCCTCGACACAGGGGCACAGGCGGGCTTGATTACAGTGGCAAGCGCAAAGGCTAATGCCTTGCCACTAAGGCCGTGTTCGAGATACATGAACGGAATTGGTGGAATAAGCTCGTTTACAAGAAAAATCCAAGCTTTCATATTGCCCTGGTTTGAAAGTGATTTTAGATTAAGAACAGAATTATTTGTAAGTAACGAATTCGGAGGCACACAACCGTGGATTAATTTGAGCGTTTTAAGGCCGATTGACGACAGGCTAACATTGGCCGATATGAACTTTGACATCCCCGCACCTGTGGATATATTGCTGGCTGCAGATGTGTGGGGTGACATCATAGGCTCGATGCTATATCAGCATCCAACTGGCGCTGTTATGCACGAAACAGCGCTAGGCCATGTGATTTTAGGCGGAACTTGGGTACCACCAGAGGCTTTTGGTACGGCGGCATACCAAGCCATGATCGCACACGCCGAAGAAGAGCGACCAAACGAAGAGGCATTAGACGAACTATTGAAGAAATTTTTCGAAAGTGAAGGCATTGCAGAGCTTAGTTCTACACTAACGGCTGAAGAAAAGGCGGCTGAAGATTCATATACGGCCGATATGTTTCGAAAGCAAAGTGGTCGATTTGTGGTTAAAATACCACTGAAACCAGGCAAAACGTTAGGCGAATCAAGAAAGATTGTAATGCGTAGATTTTTCGCCCTTGAACGGAGGCTGCAGAGAGATGACAATTTGAGATTGAAATACGTTCATTTTATGCGCGAACTTGAACAATTAGGCCACATGAGAAAAGCTCCGAAACCATCGATAGGCGATGTTACGTATTATATACCGCATCACGCCATCAATGCTGATAAGTTCCGAACGGTATTTGATGCATCATGTAGAACGTCAAATGGAGAATCGCTGAACTCAATTCAGTTAATAGGCCCGAAGCTACAAGCTGATTTACAGTTTCATATCATGCGTTTTAGGCGATATAAATACGCAGTTATTGCCGATGTCGTTAAAATGTTTCGTCAGGTTTGCCTGCACCCATCGCAGTGGAATCTACAACGGATATTTTGGCGCGAACGGCCAAGTGATCCATTAACAGAATACCAAATAACAGTCGTGATGTATGGGTTAGCATCATCGCTATACAATGCCGTGAGATCAATGGTAGAATGCGCAAACCATTATGCGAAAGATTACCCGCAGGCAGCGGAAGTAATACGAAAATGTTTCTATGTTGATGATGGAACTTTTGGCGATGACACGATCGCAGGCTTAAAAATGCTGTGTAGAGAAGTGGAGTTTGTTCTTCGCCAAGGCGGCTTTGAACTAAGCAAATGGGCATCGAATTGCATCACTGTTGAAAAATTTATGCAAGGCGATGAAAAGGACGTGGTCGATATAGGCGAATCGAATGATGAAACCAAAGTTCTCGGTGTCCGCTGGCTCAAGGCAAATGACCAGCTCACAATTGTTGTACGGTTAACAACAGAACCGAAATATACGAAACGCGCTATTTTGGGTGAGATCGCTAGGCTGTATGATCCCAACGGCTACGTGACGCCAGTTTTAGTTGTTGCCAAAATATTAATGCAAGATATTTGGAAAATTGAGAGATTAAAGTGGGATGAGCCGGTCCCCGATGGCATTAAAAGCCGATGGAACGATTTTAGGCAAGATTTACCGAAATTAGGCGCGTTTCGGATTCCGAGATGGTTAGGCACAACCAAAGATTGCGAACTACAATTGCACGGTTTTGGCGATGCCTGTAAAAATGCGTACGGCGCAGCTATTTACGCACGTGTTACAACATTGAAAGGCGAAATAAGAAGCATTTTATTGACTGGAAAATCGAAAGTTGTTCCGATTAAAAACAGGCCGACAAACCAGCAACAAGAAACGGTAGCACGAGTGGATGCGGAAACGCCAATTCATCGATTGGAATTACTTGCAGCAGTGATGTGTAGCAAGTTAATGAGGCAGATAGTGGAGATATGCGGTTTTGATAAAGCAAAACAATTTATGTGGTCGGATTCAATGGTCACGCTACATTGGATAAAAAAATCACCTCTTGAATTGAAAGTGTACGTTTCGAATAGAGTGAAGGCTATTCACGAAGCCATAGGCGAAGCTCGATGGGCTCATATCGGAACATCAGAAAACCCGGCCGATTTGTTGAGCAGAGGCATGAAGGCTGATGAATTGCTTGCGAGTAAGTTGTGGAAAAGAGGTCCCAACTGGTTGATAGAGTCGCAAGCAGAATGGCCGAAACCACGAATGGTTATTACACCTGAAGAGACAGAGCAAATAAATCGTGAAACTAAGCAAAGGCAGGTTATGGTTTCAGCGGTCATGATGACGTATGTGTGTGATCGGTTTTGTGAATTATGGCACAGATCAAACGATTGGAAGAAAATCGTTCGTATTACCGCTTACGTACTTCGATTCTTTCATAACGTACGACTGAAGGATCGAAGTAAGTGGATCAGAGGTGGACCAGAAGTTCACGAGATACAAAATGCCGTGGTCTTTTGGATCAAATATGCGCAAATGCGGGCGTATAAAAAGGAAATTGAACTTGTTAAGCAGGGCGATTCAGAGTTTTTTACGAAAAGTAAGATTGCCAATCTCAATCCACAGTTAGACGAAAAAGGCATGTTGAGAGTGTATGGCCGAATCGATAAAGCTCTCGTGGAATATGACATAAGGCACCCAGTCATAATCCCACCTAAATCGAGGCTGTCTTATTTATTAGTGCAACAGGCGCACAAAGACACGATGCACGGCTCAAGAAAGATGATGACCGCACATTTGAGGCGTGCATACTGGATTCCGCAGTTGCGTAATGAAATAAGAGAAACGATTTCCAGATGTGTAGTATGTGTTCGCTATAAAAAGACCATGGCACAGCAGATTATGGCTGAATTACCGGCGGTAAGAGTACGACCAGCCAAACCATTTGACGCTGTTGGCATTGATCTGGCTGGGCCGTTTTATGTCAAACATACGGACAAGTTGAATTTAAACACACGTTCAAGGGTAAGCATCCCAGATATCAAAGGATACGTAGCAGTCTTTGTGTGTATGGTTACGCGCGCCATACACCTGGAGCCAGTAATGGACCTATCCTCCGAGGCATTTTTGCAAGCTTTTAAACGGTTTGTGGCAAGGCGTGGCCACCCAGAAAAAGCGTTCAGCGACAACGGAACGAATTTAGTTGGAGCTGAAAGGCTGTTGGGCGAAGCCATAAGAACATGGCAGAGCTCTGAAGTGCAAGGCTATGCCAAATGGAACAACGTCACGTGGACTTTTATAACGCCAGGTGCGCCACACGAAGGTGGGCTCTGGGAGGCCGGTGTAAAAAGTATGAAGTATCACCTTAGACGGGTGATGGGTACACAACGGTACTCATACGAAGGCATGTCAACGCTACTGGCCGGTATCGAGGCATGCTTGAATTCAAGGCCGATTTGTGCGCTCTCAGACGACCCGAATGAGATCGAGGCACTCACGCCAGCACATTTTTTAATAGGCGGTCCATTAAAACTGCCTGTGGCCGAGGCAGCGAACAAACCACCAACGAAAGCAAGGCGGCTGTTCGAAGAACTTCAAACGCAAACACAATCGTTCTGGAAGCAGTGGCAGGACGATTGTCTTCATCAAATGATGAATAGGCCAAAATGGAAGGAAGCTCAACAAAACATGCAAATAGGCCAGCTTGTTTTGTTAAAAAACGAAAATATGCCGCCGACATATTGGCCGATGGGCCGTATCATCGAAGTACATGAGGCTGCCGATGGTAAAGTCAGGCAGGTTAAACTACAGATGCAGCACGGCACATTAGAACGCTCAATTAGAAAATTATGTGTGTTACCCACTGATGACGATTTAGGATTTTGGGTTGAAAAGTAACATTTCAACGGGGGGAATGTTCAGACACATCGCTGCCAATACCATAAAAGGCAAGGTATTGGCA